TAAGGTCAGGCTAATTCTGACTGTCTTAAAACAAGATTTGACAATGGTCACAAATCCGTTTAGTCTTATTTCAAAAACTGTTGCTTTAGTTTCTCATCCCAGAGAGATCACAGAGACAGTTCTTGCATCTTTTTGCAGTGTTAAGCTGATATGCAGTTTTTCCTTTGTGCTTGAGAAGAAATTGAAAGAATAAGGAGCTTGTTATTGAAATGAACAAATGTTTGCATATTAACAAAGCTTCCTGCACTGCTTATTGAGATTAGACGCTGTTTTCTAGACCGTAAAGAATCCTAAACTTCCAACTGACACTAACTGAAGCTATGTGCTTCAGTTAGTGTCAGTTGCATCTCGTTCCATTATGCCGCCATGTGAGAGTGACCCAAGCATGCATGGTGTAGTAATGACAGTAATAATAGTAGTAGTAGTACCAGTAATAACTTTCCCCACCTATTTGTATGTATTTTTTTTTTTTGTTTAAGATGAAGAGATCCTTTATTCTTCCCACAGTAAGGAAATGTCAGTGTTGTATCACAAGTTACAGACAGTAGGAATGAGGAGCACACAGCACAAGATAAATGGGATAATAACTCTATACTAAATAAAATAAAATCCCTAACTCCAGCATAAAAAGCAGCAGTATATAATTTCTCATTTTAGCACAATCCAATCCACTTTTTTACATACTGTAGCATAGTACATTTTATAAAACATGTTTTATAAGTGCTGCACCACAAATAAAAGTAACACAATAAAATATACAAGTCTTCCAGCTTTAATTAAAAACAATTAATAAGTACAAACTCAAATCAATTAAATAAATATGGAAATAAGTCTAAAATCTCCAACTTTAGCGTCATGAAGAAGCCAGACTTAAGTACAAAAACCCTTGACTTTAGCATAATAAGGAGCAAGTGTAAATAAAATACTGTATATTTTATTGCAAGTAGTATATAGTTGTATCCTATGGTATAACATTGCTTTGTGACTGAAATAATGTTCTCAGTACCTTCGCGCTAAATACCATTAAAGTGAATTATCAGACTGTGGTCGCAGCTGCTCCAGGTCTAAGTGGAATAATCTGAGGGAAAGAAAGTTTATACACCACAATAAAGCAGATGGAGGCGGCCTGTTCTCACCGCACCACTGGATTCTGGTGTTTTTGGCACTTTCCAGAATCCGCTTTGAACTCAGCCCACACTTTTATATGTGAATGTGATGTGAACCACTGCCACTGGTGTTTTTAGTCTTTTTTGGAAAGTTAATTATGACATTTATTAAGTAAATACTGATGTTTATTGTGTGATAAAATTGGTATATTTGTGACTGTTGTTAGGACAGAGTGTTTACATCTTAAAATATTGCAGTAGTGATAGTGATAGAGAGTCTAAGGACAGTGGGGATGATCCGGGACATTTAAGGATATTTATGGACATTACGGACCAATGGCTTCTATGTGTTGGTTATTTTGCATTTCCTGTGTTTGGACTGTTTGAATCTCTGATCTGTTGTTGGCGAATCGACAACTTTTGACAACCCCCGAGACTACAGATGTTGTGATTTAGGGCTATACAAAAATAAATTGAATTGAATGAATAATAGTGTACAAGGTTTGAGACAGGCGCATATAGACAGAAGGGGCGGGGGGATGTCTTTGTCTCAGAAGTTCCTTATATTAGCGTGGATGGGACTGAAAATGTATTGAGATGTCTTTTTTGATGAGGGCATACAAATCGAAATAAAAAGATGATTTTGAAATATATTATTATAAGCCAGGTTTTTAGCATAGAATTTAGCTGTGGATGAGACACATTTTTACTCGCACATAAAACACACAATAAAACAGGTGAGATCGTCATTTTTAGCACATTTCTTTTAAGAGAGAAAGATAGTCGCCCATAATTTCTATTCCCCTGCTTTACAACACTACCTCAATGGATTTACCGCTACATTTTTCTTTCAAGATTGTAATTTGCTAATGGTTTTATGCCTGTGTGTGCTTTGTTGGATCCCTCTGCACATATCTCCACATAAAGCAGATAGGGAAGTAAAATGTGCTTTCGGCTTAAGTGAAATTAGCTCTTGCTCTGACAAAAGCTGGGTCAAAAAAAGGCCTTGATGTTTCGCTACGCTACTGACGGCTATGTGACCTCAACTTGTAAAGGGCCAGAAGGAGGCGGGAGCTCTCAGTTGTCCTTCTCTGTCCTACATGGTCATAGTATTTTTTTCATTTTTTCATTTTTACTCATAGCTCTATAAGTTAAAGTAAATCCATATATTCTGATTTATGGACTCCCTCTGACCACCCACTCAGCGCAGCGCTACGTCCCTGTTAGCGGTGACCCCGACTCAGCCTACTCGCTGAGATGGACTGGACGGGAAGGAAAAGGCATTTTTAATGGTCTTTCATAAAGCAGTAAATCACCTCCAAATGGTAGAGATCACAGGGTTGAATGTGCAAAATGCGCCGTGTTGTTGTGTTGTCGCTATGGTGATGTAGAAGGAATAAATGATCATGGTGAGTAAAATCTGTATTTAAATATCTATCAATAACAGACTGACTGTGTATATGATTTGATGAAAGCATTGTTATGAGAGCTAAGGTCTGTCCCAATAATTACTGTTTCAAGTAACTATGAATTTTCTTTGTTTTAATACTAGTGTTCTTTTGACCTAAGTTTTTTGTTGTTGTTGTAGGACACTTTTTCATTGTGGGCTTGAAACAAACTTAACTAACTAAATATAATACAAATATTTTACACATATAACTAGCTAATACAGCATATAGCTAATAATAATGACAATACATTTTATTTCTGAGGCGCCTTTCTAGACACTCAAGGTCGCAAAAGTACATTTAAAAACAGTTATAATACAGTTAACAAATGATAATAATTATAACCATGATGATAAAGTTAATAATTATAATGCTAATTATAATAATTCTACGAATATCAATAATTAATAATAATAATACAACAAATAATAGCACATAATACAACAGTTTTTCACTTATAAACCAGACTTTCCAGCCTCTTCCTCATCTATCGCAAATCCACAGTCTTTGTCACACAATTTATTTCCAGCCATTACTCTTAACACTGCACACTGCTCTTATCCCTCTGAGTTTTCTCTCCTGGTTTTGTCCTTCGCTCGCTGCACTACAGTCCAGTCCAGTCCAGTCCAGTCCCCGCCGGAACACTTAATAACACTGATTTGTGCCTTTTTTCCCTCAAACGCTGTCACTCCGTCCTCCATATTTCATCACATGTTGCATATTTCTTTGCAAGCCGGCTCATTCGTTACTCCCCTGTCCATCTGTAAGCACTCACGCACACACACACACACACACACACACACACACACACACACACACACACACACACACACACACGCACACATGTACATACACAAGCTGCGGACCATCCCCTAATCAGACATTCCTCGCAGTCCCACGGTTTTGACCTGAGTTGCTCCAGGATCAGAGGCAGGAGGAGGAGGAGGAGGAGGAGGAGGTGGAGGAAGAAGAGGAGGAGGAGGAGAGCTGTCTGGACCCACGGCTCCTTCACGAAACATGCATGTGGATAGAGACCAGATGACTTACGAGACTTCTGCTTCCATTTGGTGCTCACCGGAGAGAAATGGCATGCTGTTCCAATGGAATACTGTCTGCTTACTTTTTATACACTGCAAAAACTGGATCAAATAGTCAATCTAGTCTCTTAACACTTTACCTGCTATTGTTATTACTATACTATTACGTACTACGTTCATCTGATAATTCTGCTCTGATCATTCACTAGTCACTTTACCTGCATGTTCTCCCTGTGTCTGCTTAGGTTTCCATCAGGTGCTCCGGTTTCCCCTACCACTAAAAATAACTACAGAATAGCAATAGGTTCTGGCATGCACCTCCTGTATGGCGACCCCGCTCCCATCTCTGTGTGGAGTGAGAGACAAATGCCCACAACAATTGTAAAGCGCTTTGTGACCGGTCAATCAATGTCTGTCTCTAAACTATAACAGCAGGCACCGACTTTGAATGACTCTCCACCCAGTGTTATTCCAAAATCCTAAACAGGTTTGCACATAAGTCAGTACCTGCTCCCAATGTTTTCACCAGGACCATATCTGCATACCTTACCTACTTCCTGGTATTTATCGAAACTCTCTGCCTTTCCCTTTTGTCCCTAAAACCCCCACTAACCTCACTTCACTTCTCCTAATCCCAATATAGCTGAGATACATCCGCACGGCCAAATAATCCTTAAATATGAGATAATAATTGCTTGATTAGAGTGGTTTTTATTTTAATTTGATTTCATTCTGACTGTGTTAAAGGTACACTGTGTAGTTTTTACTCTCATCTAGCATTTAGATCATATATTGTAATTTCCGGTACTACCCTGGCTTTGCAGGACAATGTGTTGTGAACTTCGTCCCCAAGATGTCCTCCACCCTCATGGACATTTATAAGCCAAATTTTAAGCTTACAACAACAATTCAACAACATGGTGGGGGTAAATCTTCTTAAAAAGGTCATGTTTGTTATTGGTTGACATGTTTTTTTCATTTGGAGCAACTGTCAAAATTATTCAAGAGTACCTTTAAAACAAGAATTGCAAATGGGACAAAACCATTTGGTATTATTTTAAGAACTGTTGCTTTATTTCCTCATTCCATGGGAGACATCTCTTGTGTCTTGCTAGTCCTATTAGGAAATTTAGTTTGAAGGCAGATACATTTTGCTGAATTTGAGCCATTTGACTTCTTTCTTGTCACTTTTTGCAGTGCAAGCATCTTTTGATAAGAAACATTTGCCTTTGAATTTAATCACATGCATGTCCTTGTGAGAAACTAGGCCCAGCTGCCTCTGGAGATAACTTTATTTTGTATGTTTGCGACGTGCAGAGATATTTAGAGCAGTTTATATAGGTCACAATCGCCATTTCTCCTCTCGACGCCCGGGGGAAAAACCTGCTAACTTTCTTTTCTCCCCACAGAGGAAAAGTACGTGACGATCCAGCCGTACAGCAGCCAAGGCAAGGACGAGGTGAGCTTCGAGAAAGGCGTCACTGTGGAAGTCATTCAGAAGAACCTGGAGGGCTGGTGGTACATCAGGTGAGATTTTGAATTAGGAAATATTATTTTTAAAAACGTCCTGGGACAGAGATGCGCCGGCACATGCTTAAGCTTTGTGAGTTAGCTAAGAAGGACCCGGTTCCTGAGAGATTGGGGGAAGTTTCAAAATAGCAGATAGTGGGTTACACATTAAAGGTGTGTAACTTTTTCCAGGATGGGTTTGTCTCTGGCTGTCTGTACTACTCTAAACTACTGTATTTTTCAGATTATAAGCCACATACATGATCTGGGTATTCAGGTTTATTCGTTTCTCATTGTCTTTTAAATAGTGAAAATAACTTGAAATAGAGCAAAGGCCAAATGCTACGTGCTGACAGTAAACAGTGTTGCCGTGGTAACTAGTACTGGATCTAAAACAAGAATTCCTCACCTTTCAAAATAAATAAGGTAATCAAAATAATGTCATAGAAATTAAATGTCTTAAAGAAACACAAAGTTATGAAGACTATAAATATACTGCCATCCATCCATTTTCTTCCCCTTAATCCATTTCTGGGCCGGGGGGAGTGGCAGTCACATAGCCCCAGCCCCTCACTGATCCTCCTGCAGGTGCTGAGTCCAGTCCACATGAGTCTTGATCTTTCAGTGTGAGCTTCAGGCAAAGTTGAGTTAAGTTTCTTGCCCAAGGACACAACAACAGCAGACATCAGTGGGAGTCGTGACGTAGGTCTCGCGGTGGGCTCGAACCCACAACCTTCAGGCTCAAAGGCCAATGCTCTACCAACTGAGAAACTAAAAAATGTACATATGCTGAGTAAATACACTAGAAAGCCGTCAAATTGACTGCTCTGGGAGTTTGTGTTAAATCCAGGCTCAGAAAGTTCTTCTACTAAGACAATAAGTGTAGACCTCAGCCTTTGTGAGAGTCCACCGCAAAAACATGTCCAGTAATGAAGCAGTTCTAGCTTCTTTAGAACAACCTGCTGAGCCTTTAACAGAATAATGACATTTAGTAATCTTTCATGTTTAATAGTACTTATAACTTACTCATGTTTGGATTTGTTTGGTAAATAAATGAAGCAAATCTCATAAAAAAAACATATTTCAATATTTTCTTATTATTCAAGATATATTTTTAGTAATGATGACACGACACAAAAAACCACGACCCTTAGTGAAGCACTTCTGCCTCGCCTTGCGTTGCTTGTTCTCCCTGTTATTCCCCTCTGTCCTCTAAAACACACACACGCACACACACACACATGTATACATACAGGTAATGGCTTGGACTGAATTCTACAAACAAGCCTGCGTGAAGCCTAATGAGCTGTCAAATATCTACAGCTAATCCTCAAAACAAACTGCTGCAAATGTTATTTTTCACGAAACATGAGACGATCCGACAGCTCTAGCTTTGACTCATACCTCTGTCATGGGGCAGGGCAGCGGGCTCGTGGTTCCAGATTGAGAAATGATCACATCTCTGAGTCGGAAATGACGCCCCGATGTTGCATCAGTGACATTGAAATGATGTGTGTATGTTTTTTGACACATTGATTATTTAGTTTTACGTTGCATACAGAGTACAAATGTGTGGAGAGGTGAAGATAGAAGGATTTGTAGCTTTAGCTGAACGGATGAAGGCTCTTACAGATGCGTGTGCCCATTTTCCTTTTTTAATTTAATCGCACAAATTCACCGTTCATGCGCTAAAAACCATGAACACATTGAATCAGAAAGGCATACACAAGAATCAGAAATCAGTCAATGTTGGACCCTGAGTTCGTAATAAAGGCTTCATTCATTCATTCAGTCATAAAAATCACATTCAAATACCCATTTCAGCGAAGCACTAACCATAAACACAGTTCAGACAGGACCATACCGAGCCCACAAACCATGTCAACTTATGTACAATCAGGAAGCACCCAGAAGAATAAATGTGGGGGGAGGTGAAGGTGGAAGGATTTTTATTCATTGCTACTATTAGTTAAAGGAGACGTTCAATTCAATGTATTTTTGTGTAGCCCTAAATCACTACAGCGTTTCTCTTGGAAGACTTCACAAAGTTTAATGAATGAATGAATGAATACTTTATTTTGAGCCATGGTAAACAAGAACAAAGAACAACAACCAAACAAAAAAACAACAACTGAATAGAAAAAATAAAAAAACAACACATGATAATATACACATATACATTGTTTTGTTTTAGTAAAAAAAAATCCAGCATGAAAAAGGAGTGGGAAGAAGTAAAAAAGTTGCAGATAGCTCAACAACAGATCAGAGAATCAAACAGTTTGTACACAAGAAATGCAGTAATGGGTCCGGGGGGAGCGGGGCGACCACTGTCCATAAATCACACTCAGAGAATTTTTTTAAAAACAAAATTATTGCTCATACATACAATTACAATACAATTTCTAAAGTTAAATTACGTTGTTTGAAATCAGAAGTCTGTCTCTTTTTAGAATTTCCTCTCCTCCCTCTGGTGGTAGCATTGGGAGTTACTGTAAGATTAAGATATCCTTTATTTGTCCCACAGTGGAGAAATTTCAGCGTTGCATCACAAGTTACAGAATATTAGGAATGGTTCTGTCCTTTGCACAAGATAAATGAACAATAACTCAAAAAAATAAGCAGGCATTAAAAACATCTCTAGCTTTAGCATAAAGAAGAAGCAAGAATTAAGTACAGAATACAGGCATTTATTTTTACCCTTCACATATATATTTCCTACTTATTTGACATTCTAAATTATTAAATAACACAGTAAATAGTCTCATCGTTGTAATGCCCTAAAATAATGCATCATATTTCTTCTTTAAGAGCTAGCACTGACAGGAGAGCCAAGTTAAAGTGGGACTAAAACCTTGCCCACGTCCACATCACTGCCCGGTTTAATGAGCTGTTAAACTGGGCAGCGCCTGGAGGATAATACAAAGGCAAAGTCTGGACCAAGGAGGAACAGCTTGACGTTTCATCATAGTTGGCAACACGTACTCTGTTTGTGACTGTATTAAACCGTAAATCTGAAAATGAATCTCGTTTGGACGAAGACGATAAGAAAAACAATGCAGCCAACCACCACGTTAAAATTACATGGGGCATATTTATCATTGATTTGTGTGTGTTTGTGCCGAAATAACATAATAATATTAACTAAAGAGAAAGCTGACAAAACCTACTGATAGAAACAAAATGCGCCGTGAGACCTTCTCCACCGACTCCCACTGATGTCTGCTGTCGACGTGTCCTTGGGCAAGACACTTAACCCACTTTGCCCATAAGGAGCGCGGAAGTAATTTTCACTGCATGCCTTGATGTGTATGTGAATTAATCAAAAACTGAAATTCCCCCACTGTGGGATGAATACAGGACCTTCTTCTTTACTGTACACATAGTTTAGCACAGGCATGTCCAAACTCAGGCCCGCGTGCTGATTGCGGCCCTCTGTGGCCTTTTATGTGGTCCTCTGCTGCAAACACAAAGTCGCCATTGAGGCACTTTGGCACCATGGAATCCACTCTCTAACTCTATTGTTATATAATGATATTTGTTTTATGAATGTGTCACAACATTCCAAATAAAAAGCAGCTGTGGTGTGAATCAATAAGGACCTACAGTATCATAACCCATTTTAAAATCCAGAATCCAGTCAATCCAGCTCAAATCCAGTTTTTTTTTTTATCTAGGTTGTCGGCCCCAGGTCAAGACTGATGAACTAAAGTGGGCCTCTTACTTAAAAAAGTTTGGACACCCCTGGTTTTAGCACATGGATTGATAAATACACGCCATGTACAAAGAGTTTGATCGCTAAATCAAATCAATCCCACTGCAGTTTTTTTAAGTTGACTGACACATGAACACATATTTTGGCAGGGCTTTTATGTTTCTGGAAAAATATCAATTTGAAGTGTGTGAAGATGGAATGATGTTGAACTGTCAGAATTTCAGATTTCTCTCTTTAACATCAAAGAGGTCGATGAATAAAAGATTGAGGTTTTTGGAAAGACTCTTTATCCACCAACATTAAAAGCACCAGGTTTGTTAAGGTATAGGTAGATAGATAGATTGATTGAGAGAGACTGACAGAGAGATAGATAGATAGATAGATAGATAGATTGATAGATTGATATTGACATGAAGAGAGAGAGAGAAATTGTGGAGAGATAGATTGATAAATATAGATAGAGAGAAACATAGAGATAACTTGATATATTTATGGATAAATGGAAAGGGAGAGTAAGATAGAAAGATAGATATGTAGTTGCAATCAAATGTGTTGCTATGATGGTTGCTAAGGCAGGTTATCCCCACAAATAGAGGCATTCGTTCTTGGCTCAGGACAATTTCAAAATACAAACACCAGGATCACAGAGAGCACTAAACCACAGATTATCTAAGATTAACATGGTGAGTGTGACATAAACAGTATGAGCTCCATGAGTACTTTTCAATGTAAGTCAATAGGAGTCAGAGCGAGTTGGAGAAAAATGTTGTCAGTGAGCATTTCCTTATTTGGCACCCCTTGAGCTAGCTTGTTAGCATTGTTCGTTTGTATACAATCTATGGGGGAAACATCTAAACTCCGTACAGACAGGGCCGGGTCCACAAGGGAATCAAAAAGGCCTACTAATTTATCCATGCCTTATATACATTTTTTCTTTTATAGCTTGTTCTAGTCTGAGTTTGTGACTTCATGTACTTACAATGGCAATAAAGAAAAATAATTGTGATTCAGATTGACTTTACTAAGGATCGGTTAATGTTTTCCTATGTACTAATTCTTATGTTTACCTGACAGATACCTGGGTAAAGAAGGCTGGGCTCCTGCATCGTACCTAAAGAAACTCAAAGATGACTTCTCCCCGCGCAAAAAGACCCTGACCGGTCCCGTCGAGATCATTGGCAACATCATGGAGATCAGCAACCTGCTCCAAAAGAAGTCCTCGAGCGAGAAGGACATCCAGAGCGAGGGTGAGGGGAGCGGGCCCTCTCCGGAACGCCACATCTCCAAGAGCGAGATCAGCCTTCCCATGCCGTACAACTCCGAGATCAACGCAGAGACCGGGAGGAGGCTGAGCGCGGGACGGGATACTAACAGCCCGTGTTTGGGGATCGCAGCCAGCGCCGCCCTGCTGGAGAAGAGGGGGGGAGGAGTGGGAGGAGTGGGAGGAGGAGGGGGAGATTCAGGGAGTCCAGCCGTGGCCAGGGTTGCTCCTCATCGAGTGGAAATCGGTGAGAGAAATAATCGCAAATATGGGTAAAGAGTAGGGCTGCACGGTTTTGGCAAATTGTGCTATAAATATTCTGTTTATTTAAAATGAATATTACATTATGAAGTAATTGACATCATAATTCAGGCATTTTTCTTTTTTTTTTATTTACCAAGGTTTTCTTCTATATGAAAAAATACACTGCAAAACATTAAAATACGGACTAGTGTAGTTCACTTGATTTCAATATATTTTTTTAAATACTTTTTTTTATTTTACTTTTTTACTCATACAGGCAGAAGATACTTAAGATAATATTACTTGTATTCATATTTTTTATAGTTATATTTAACAAGTGGAAAAATCATGATCCACTGGTAGATAATTTTGCTTTAAATCTTTGTCCAATAGCTACTTTTTTTAGAGCCACTTTTTGCAGTGTAAGATTTTTTTATGTTCATGGGACCCTCTCGAAAATGAGACAATACAAACATGTTATAAAGGCTTGAATTTTAAAGTTGTTTTATTCTTGAAATTAGATCTGAGTTGCGCAACTAATGTTCCCATTTTTGGCTTGAATAAATAATGAAAAGGATCGAATGTCTTGTTTGAAATGAGAAAAAAATGCGTCCTCCCGACAACAAGACAGAAGATACTTTTAACATTTTTATTCTTGTACAAATATTCAAAACGAGATTATTGTTTTCCATGAAATTTTGCGACTTACTTAATGCGACCACGACATTTTCGATTCACTTGCGAATAATGGTGCAGCCCTACTCAAGTCATAACTATTGAAGAGGATGACAAAGTCTGGGATCGCGTCTTAAATTCAGACAGAAGACATGTTTTATTGTCGATGGTAGAGACAGCACGATCAAAGCACACAATCACAGATACAAGAGAATGCAAGTGTATTATACAGAGCGGAGGCATGGAGACCCCCAATCAGCAGCTGCCACAGTGCCATGTAGCTTGGCCTTCAGATAGACAAAACAAGGGAAAAGTACTGGCTTCTGCACATTGATAGAATGATGAGTTTAACCTTAACAAAAGTTGCTTCAAAGTGTTATGAAATCTCACATTCCCCCTTCTGGTCACACATTCCCGTGTGACCATTCAGGATCAATAAACAGCAACATAACATCATAACTCAATACTTCAAAAACTCATAAACTCGGTACTTCACTCTGTACTTCAAAAAACTCAGAACTCGGAATACTTCAAAAACTCATAAAACATGTTCAGATCTTTCATAAAACTTGTCAACAATCTTCAGTAAAATACCAAACTTCATCAGTCGATGGTGGTTCCAGATATTGCTTTGAAAACAGTCTCTCCCACTTCTCCGTTTTTAGTTTTCTTCAGGCTGCATTTGTGTCGAGCCATGAATTCTTCTGTGACGTGTCTTTCAATCACACGTTTCAGCTTCAGTGTCCAGATTTAGCAATTCAATTCAGTCCAAATTATGTCCAAATTCAGAAATCCAATTGTTCCAAATTATGTCCAAATTGTGTAATCCAATTTTTCCAAATGGTGTCCATGCAAAAGAGGACGCATGGTGTTGTCCATGTCTCAGCAGCTCACAGCCTGAGTGGACTCAGGGGCTGTGCAGATTGTCCAAGTGTGCTGGTCCAGATGCATTCTCTTGAGGTTTCTCTGTTTTGGCTTAAAAAAAAACACTTTTTGTGTAAAAAAAAAAAGTCTTCTGTTCTCTAGATGTTACAGACAAGGCCCGCATCCTTCCACCACCTGAAGAGGATGACAAAGTCTGGGATCGCGTCTTAAATTCAGACAGAAGACATGTTTTATTGTCGATGGTAGAGACAGCACGATCAAAGCACACAATCACAGATACAAGAGAATGCAAGTGTATTATACAGAGCGGAGGCATGGAGACCCCCAATCAGCAGCTGCCACAGTGCCATGTAGCTTGGCCTTCAGATAGACAAAACAAGGGAAAAGTACTGGCTTCTGCACATTGATAGAATGATGAGTTTAACCTTAACAAAAGTTGCTTCAAAGTGTTATGAAATCTCACACTATACTACGGTATTTTTGCTAAGAGCTGCCTGTTTTCCTTTTGTGTAGGATTTGAGGCAATAGGTAAGATGCTTTAGTGGTGTGTTTTGAAATCAAATATTCAAATGTTTATTTTGGTTCATTTTGACTTGAAATTTGTGTGATTTCTTCTCCAATACTAATTATTTTAATTACTTTTACATCTTAAGGGTGCATTATGTATTTTTTGATAAATGGCCAACATACCACATGCTTATCTTGATATAATCAGTTATCCTTCTTTATTTTTTATTAGATAATTTAGAAAAAAAAAAATGCACCATAACAAATGAGTTTGACCTGGGGTACCTAACTATTGAACCACAATAAGAGGAACACTGATTTACAACCCATCAAACTCGTTCCTTGCTCCCAAAAAGTATAGTTTTATATTTGTTTTCTGTCAGTATCTTCACTCCAAGCATTATCAAAGCACAGGCATAAATAATCTGGTTCTATATCGCTTGTTTTTACATACGTGTCTTTTTGGACTCTGTCACATTTTTACCTTTTTTCTGGCAGAGAAGTGAGAAAGAGAGGACCAGTCTTTCTCAGCCAATCCTCACTCCCAGGGCTCGTTCTTAAGTATGCACATTATCACATGGTTTCTGATAAGATAGACTGATAGACACCATGTTGTGATGTGATTTGTTCTCAACATTTTACACTTTTTCTATTTGGACAAACATATGGAACAATGTAGGTACCCCAGCTCTAATAAAATAGATACGGTTTATGATGAGGCAAAACTATCACATACATATACAAAAGTTACATATTGCACCCTACAATGTAATCATAGAGGATAATTGCTCTAATTTCTTGGTTATGTGGTTCTGCAATTCAGTGTGTTGTGTTTGGAAATCATTGGACTCACAGACATGCAAGAGATTTTTGGTTTCTGATACTAATTTAGCATCAATAGTTTTTCGCATTTTGCATCACTTTAGAACCAACAAAAAAAATGAAAAAAGTGCACAACACATTAAAATAACTTTCTCCTCTTTCTGTCTAGGCTCTCCAAATTTAAGGCAAAAACCTCCTCCACGAAGAGATGCAAACCTGGTAAGAATTTGAGAGAAACTATGTAATTTTCAAACATGTCTTGTCTTGGGGCCAAATTCCTGGGATTGAAACTCAAAAATATTGTCTGTAAAAGAAGTCAACAGTCTGGGCATCTGTTGAGAATAGCAATACTGTACAATCCTCTATCTCATCAAATGGAAACTTAGATGCTGTTTGGTGTAACCCATCAAAGTATAAACATAAAATAATCATAAAAACACATTCATTAGCTCCCTAGCTACTGCATATATTGGTATAGCAACCGTCAAAACCCCATCACAACCTCGACAAGCGGCAATGTTTTCTGCCGGGATTGGTTTATATCTGCATATACTGTGACAAAGCAGACCACTATTCAACTCAATCACATCCTGCAAAGATTGATGTCACATTAATGGCCTATTAAGTCTATTTATAGTCAAACTGAGCCTAATGATTGTCTGTGTTGTCAGCAGCTCACATCTCTCACCCCCAGTCTTTCTTTCTTTCTTCCTTTCTTGTATTTATTTGATGCAGGGTTTATGCAGGTTACCCAAGCCACCAGAGCCCCCTGCTGTGGAAGCGGAGTATTACACCATTGCAGATTTCCAGTCTTCGATCTCGGATGGCATCAGTTTCCGTGGAGGACAAAAGGCTGATGTAAGAAGGCCACGGTGTCACAGCTGCAGCTCACATGATGCAGACGAGCATGGCAGGCACTGAATATGTATATGTGAATGGAACTCGACGGGGCAAGCTGAGGCAATGAGAGAGATGCGACCTTGAGATTTGTGATTCAATGTGATGATGCTGAGAGATTTCTCGCCACTGCAAGGGATAAAAATACACTGAATGATTTTTTAACAACTTATTCTGCAGTGGGAGAAGCTCATTAGAATCCTCATTAGCACATGTAAAACAAAGTAATTATGTAGGAATTTCTATCGTCAACTGAAGTAAGCGAAAGCCTTTGTTGTACTGGCAATGTCGCACACTGCCTCTACGCTGACAATCTGCAGTCTATTTGCTGTTCTAATTCATCTGCAAATCCACCGGAAGCTAAAACAATGCTTAGACTGAGACAATAGACCAGAAATGAGAAAACTTTAGATGGGGGCTGTACGTCATTTACATTCACACTTAATCATGTAAACTTTTCTTACACAAAGCTGTTATGTAAGGGTTAGCAGTAATGGTGTTCCATACAGTATGTGTGTGTTGACAAAACAAGAAACTACATTATAATGTTATAATATTACCTGTGCATATAACATGAAATTAAATATTAAATTGATGGTAATAAATAATTGAAAAGTAAACTGAGTTAGTATACAGTAGTACAGTTTGTGACAGTAACCCGCACTAAACTTTTCTCATATTTCATATTATTCTGCAGGTGATCGAGAAGAACCCTGGTGGCTGGTGGTACGTGCAGATCGGAGAGAAGGAGGGATGGGCTCCCTGTTCCTACATCGACAAACGCAAAAAACCCAACGTCAACCGTCGATCCAGCACTTTAACCAGGCCCAAAATCCCTCCTCCTGCTCCACCTGTCAAAAAGTCAGATTCTGAAGAAACCCCTACTACCACAACCACTACTACTACTACAGCTGCTAGTACTATTACGCCTACAAAACCTATAGATACTCCTAAACGGCCTGTGTACGAAGAACCAGAGTATGATATCCCGGCTGTGGGATGTGAAGGCGAATCTGACGTTGATTCGCTCAAAGACGATCAATCTTTAGATGTCAAGCTCAGCAACATTGTTGGTCAAAAGTACGGCAGCTCTCCACCATCTTGCAAATCTTCCCCTCCTGTGTGCAAAGCCTCTCCAGTCTTCAGCCATCGCAAAACAACATTTAGATCTGTGGAAGAAGTCTCCAAGGAAGAGTGTGTCTACGAAAATAACTTCAGGTCTAGCGGTCGGGCGGATGGTTCATCTCTGAAAGGGTCGAGTGAACCGAGCTCACCCAGGATGTATCACTCTTCGACGGTCCCGCGCAAACCTTCAGGATCTTCAACCCCAACCGGGAGTCGACCGATGAAGACGATGACTCCAGAAATGCACAGAAGAAGCCAAACCTTAGGCAGACGCATTGACATAAGTTTGCGGTCTCACGACAGCAGCAGCCCTCACTCTTCTTCAGATGAATTACCCAGAAGTGCTAAAAAGACCGCCAGCTTTAACCGGGATGTGGAGCAGAGGATAGGCCAGAGCCCGTCGACAAGACCCAAGCCATCCGTTCGCCCAAAACCTCTCCTCTCCAAGTCCGAACCGCAAAGTCCTGACCGGATGGAAATCGGGTCGCTCAGACGTCAGCTGAGACCTACGAGTCAATATCGTCCTGCTCTCAAAACATCAAGAGGAGAAGATTCAGAAACGGCATCTGTGGTCTCTTCTGAGGACTCTGTGTGTTCACGAAGTACCTCAGATGTATCCTCTGCGTATTCAAGAGGAAGTAGAGCAGATTCAGACATGGAAGGGCCTATTATGTACCGCTCCGTGGATGCGTACAAGAAAGTTCAAGATTCAGAGATTAGTTTCCCAGCCGGAGCAGAGGTGGAGGTGTTGGAAAAGCAAGAAAGCGGTTGGTGGTACATTCGCTGGGCATCTGAAGAGGGTTGGGCTCCTTCTTACTATCTTGAACCAGTTCGTCAAAAAGGTAGTGCAGAGTCAGAAAGGCATAGCAAGTCAAACAGCCTGGAAAAGAATGAGAAACATGTCATGGTGCTCAACAATATCAACATCCAAGGGCAGAAACATCAAAATGTAAGCAGGAACACTCCTCCAATTCCTTCCAAACCCCCTGGCGGATTTTCCAAGCCGACCCAAATGGTAAACGGAGGGGTGCGGATGCGAAATGGGGTGCGGCAAGTTGCTGTAAGACCTCAGTCTGTTTTCGTGACTACATCGCAGCCATCGAAAGACACACACTACATGACTGGGTCCCTGAGGAGGAACGAATCGCTGGGAAGGAGTGACCACTACAGCTCGGGATCGGCTACTTTGGGAGTCCGTCGGAATGCGTCTTTCAGCACGGTGCGCCCCCATGTGGTTGTGGAAAGCCAAACCAGGCCATCAGAACGATCAAGTTTGGGTTCATCGAGCAGCGGATTCACAAGCAACCAACGCAACGGCATCCCTGTCTCAACGGTCCGCCCCAAGCCTATCGAAAAAAGCCAGATCATTCACAGTAACCTCGGCAGGGACGTGTACGTGTCCATTGCCGATTACAGAGGAGACGAGGAGACCATGGGCTTTACTGAGGGCACGTGTTTGGAGGTTTTGGAGAGAAATCCCAATGGGTGGTGGTACTGCCAAGTCCAGGACAGCCTGGTCCCGCGAAAAGGTTGGGTTCCTTCCAACTATCTAGAGAGAAAAAAATAAAACCCATAACCGTTTTAACATTTTGTAAATCGCCCACTCAATTTTTTGATGTCTACAAGCAAACGTATGACATCACCCCTTAAGAATGTGGCCCCGATCTCCCGTAAGCAATATGTTTGACTATGTACACTAATGACTGTATTAAGAGGGAGCTTTGTAAATTGAAAAAAAAGACATGTATGCTTGGGAAAATTAATTGTTTGAATGATCAGACTGAATTTTGGGATAAAAATGTTGACAATGGATTTGAGTATTATGGGAGTAATAATGTCTAAAAAGAAACTTGCATCATGTCTTTTGACAGTGATGGCCTTAAGTGCCTTCAATAATGGATTGGTGGAGTGGAGGTCTGAACAGTTGGATGGCGTCAGAATAAAGCAACCATTTTTACAACAGTGCCATAGGTCTATGATCACTACCAAGAGTATTTTTACAACTAATCTTGAGCTCTGCTAAAAATGGACTCCTCTGCTTTCCAACAAGTTCAAGCTAAATCTAAAACTTAGTCTCATACGTGTTTTTTTTCTTGTTCATGTTTGTCTTGTGTTGAAGCGAGTCTTCCTTAGAGAATTATTTCTGCTTTCTTGTGACATTGCTTTCCTTCTTCAGCCGAAAAAAATACAGCTCCTGCCTATTGTCTCAGACACTAGGGCAGAATATGCAGTAGGTGCTTAACTTCAACAGTTTGTATTATAGAGTAGTGTTTATAGCCCTCAGAAAATGTCTGTTTTATCGTGTCCAAGATGTAACCATTTGGATTATAAGAATACATGAATCCTGAAAAGCTTGAAAATACAATTAGAGTTTAGTTTTGTAGAAGAAAAAATATAATGAACCAACTTGATAGCTCCAGAAACACCTCATCTCTGGGTCGCTGACAAACAGAAGTTTACAAAAACGTAGGTTAAATGTGGTTTTCATCTAGGAAACAATATATTTTGTACATATTTATTTTTGATGTTGTGGCAGCAGTATATATACTCAAACAAAGTGAAATAACATCCCAGGGACATCTACTTTATTACGTCTTGCCCAAAATGTGATTAACCAAAGAGTACTAAGAATTTGTAGTGTTTGTATCTCGTTGATTTTTATTATTTGTCTTAAATTTTAACTCAGCAAAAACTATTGTATCTGGTGGCACTTGATTCCGAGCTGTGAATGAAAGATGAATGTTCAAGACTGCTGAAATACATTTTCTAACGAACCCCATGACACTTCTCAAGGCTCGTCACTAATTATTCATGATTTCTGCTGGACAGTTTTATAGGATTAAACCTGCTAGATCGCAGTTGTGTATTTCATGTTTGGATGTTTGTGGTCACACAGCGACAATATTGACAAATGAAGTGGTTCTGTTTTTTGTCAGCTCAATGCACTTTAAACTATTTCAGTGCATTCATGTAAAGATGCAGGTCGGTCACAGCAATGTATTTATTCTGTTAACTTATTTTTTATCTTATTTTTAATTATTTTTTTATGAGGTGAATTTTCTGTGGCTGAAAGCACACCTCCAAAACGGTATGACACAGCCCTCTAGTGGACCTAAGCGGTACAGCAGTGACAGGCTGGGAGTTGATTTTATACCTCATTGCAAAAAACTGCACTGTTGGTCAATGAGAAATCTATTTTGTTTTATTTTTTAAAGATTTTTTTCCGAGTGCAGCTTTTTTCTTTTTAATTCCACAATGTTTTTCTTTTTTTATTGGGCCTTATTTCCCTTGTGCTGTGCACTGCAACTTTTCAAAATCCTGAGCCCTTCGTTCATCTCTATTGTGCTTTACATAATGCCGGATTTAAATATTTATTGTAATTTATCCCTATTTTTTTTTCTTGAAATAATGTTTCGACAATCAAAGAGTTTCTCATCAACAATTTGCATTTTGAAAATTCCCTTTAAACAGGCATTATTCAACTTTTTATGTTAAAGAATGTTTTTTTTTTTGGCCAATTTCTCTTTGAGAGCATGGTGCCTTTACTGTTCTGTCCTGAGCCTCGAGTGGGGCAGTGGTTAGCACTTAGCACAACAAGAAGGTCAGACCTTTCTGTGTGGAGTTTCCATGTTCTCCCTGTGTCGGCATAGGTTTCTTCAGAGTGTTATGGTTTCTCCTACCACTATAAAAACATATACAATTCCTCTGTTAAATTATTGAAGGTTTTCTCTGCTGTGGGATCCTCGCACCAGAAAACCTAAAAACAGTTGATCCTGGAGCTCTGTCGACGGAAGATTTTTCTGAACAAAACTAGATCAAGTACTGTATGTTTGGATGGAACCAAAACTGGGTCATAGTCAACACTCCCAGAATGATGAAACTACTAGAACTCCCAGAGACGTAATTTTTTTACTGCTACCATTCAAACTTATGGAAATTCAAGAAATTCCCCAGAAAAACATATATAATTACTAAGAGCTAAGAATACACCTTGAAACACAGCAAAAACAGATTGCTGAAAGCTACCAAATGCTAACTGCTGGCAGGTAAACAGTGTGTTGCTATGGTAACAATGGAAACCATTGGTAAAAATAAAAGATAATTTAAAGACCTTATGACGGGTTTTTAAAAAAAAAATAGTGGATATCAAAATTGCATGACAATGTCAATTTGAAAGAGATTCCGGCAAAAAAAATCCTATATTTTATAAAAAGAACGTGTTTATCATGAATTTAAGCTGTCTATGCTCTAACCTGTGTGTGACGTCATAGCGGGTTACGCCCATGCATTGAAAACCATGGATCTATGCCACAGGACTGCCTTTTCTCTCTTCTCTCCACTGGTGCCCAACACAATACTGCACTCTACAGGTGACAATTGCTCACTACACATAAATTCCCGTTTTGAGTGTGAAAAAGTGTCCGAGGTGGGATTTCTAACCCAAGTATCTGGATTGGCAGTCCATCGACACAACCACTGGACTATCTCAGTGACAACGAAATGATATATTCTAGTAGTTATCTTAGACTCGCTGTACACGGCCTTGTCATCTTGAATATCCGCGAAAAAAAAACGAATACCAAATTGTAAACAACTTACAGCATTGAAACGTACCCACTCTGACGTCACCAAGGGCTGTGAAGTTTTTTCGTTTCTAAGGGCGTTGCTATGGGGTTATTTCGATTTGGGGGGATCAGACAAAAAAAACAACAACTGATTTTGAAACCTTTAGTAGTTCTCTTCTAATATAAAATGGTATTAAAACTGTATTTCTAAATAAATCAAACCCGTCATAAGGTCTTTAATTTAAAAAAAATATGGCATAGAAAATAAACTACATATCCAAATAGACACATTTACAAAGTTATGAAAATCAAACTTTAATAATTACACTTCCAATACTAAAAGCCGCCAAATTGACTGCTCTGGGAGTTCCAGTGTTAATGGATTGGCCAATGATTTATATTTCTACATCAACAACAACAGTTTAGGCACCATGCAGCCCACACAGAGAGAGAGTCTGAGTCACTACAATTCCAAAAAAGGCAAGAATACAAACATTTATTGGACATACAAAGTTGGAGAATGCTCCTTTAAGTGTCCTGTGACATTGTAAAACTGCTCTTCAGATTGTTTTGTTACTCCCTCTGCGGACGAAGGCATTATGTAACTGTGTCGACTCACTCACAGCGGCTCCGGTATATTGTCTATTGCTTTAACGGCTTAAATAAATGCAAGGGAATCATCGTTTCAAGCTCATAGTTCAGCTGTACGACTTTTTATTTGTGATTTGTGTATCGTTCTGTTTTAATTCTTCCCTCCTTTTTTTTTTGTTTTCCTTTGAAATGTCCCCTCGAGGGAAAAGTGCAATAGGAAATTTCAAAAACGCTTCAACGAAACGATCCGACTAAAGACATTGGCGGGAGAAGGCGTCCCGAGTCCAAACTGCCAGTCATCAAATTCTTTTCATATCATTTCCAGTTTCAGAGCAGGTGTGTGGAGTCCTCAAACAAACACACCCGACAACAACAAAAACCTCGGACCAAACACATCTCCCGGATTTGTCGAACGTTTTACAGCCATCTGGTTCCTTGGGACGTTGTGCCCTGCTCTGGGCTGTCACATTTGTGCCTGAATGGAATTTTTATATTTTAATTTGTATGTTTTTGTGTTGTTTTTTGCCCTGTTTTTTTTGTTTTAGTCCTCCTCCTTTTTTTCTCGAATGCATCCATCTCGACTTTGTATTCTATCTGTTGGTGACTAAAAAGTGGACCAGAGACGGTATAGACTGAGGCACTAGACCGGCAAGTGGGCAGATGTTTGGGATATATGGCTATAGCCAACTCACCTCCGTCCATTTATGTCCAGGTTGTGTGGCTAAAAATAAAAATCCACCCCAGTATTATCCACACTGGGCTCTTGGCAGGCTGTAGCAGGTGAAGGGACAACCACTCAAGTCAGGAAAAGACCAAAAAAATCAAATATTTGTGACTTATTAGGTGCGAGATGGTCTGTAATACCCATGGATATAGCTATTTTCTGAGGAAAGGATAGATAGATGTGAGGATACCAAGGCTGTTGCATTATGGGATGGCAAAACTAATGCTAGAGAATCATTTACGGAGCCGGACACTCCCAGTCATTGAACAACAATCATGGATCACTGGTGCATTTGACAACGATAGCTTGACTACGTATATATTTTAAAGTACCTAAACTTAACCAGAGCAACTTTTTCTCTCCCAAATAATCCATGTTGTTAGCTCCAACAGAAAGTCTTGGCAAAGTAAACAGATGGAAAGTAGCAAATCTGATGCAGCCATCTTTTTAATGTGCTCTAAGGTCTGTAGGAGGATTTTCTACTTCCGGGTGGATCATCAAGATCATTTTGGTTCTCTTTGTTGTCAATCGTTCCGGTGGTGAGTGCTCGTCAAACAAGACCAGAGATTTTTTTACAAAAAAGGGGAGAGGGCGGTTCTTTCCTAAAAAAAATTGCGAATCCTCCTATATACCTTTTAAATGAACAAAACTAAACTACATTAAAATTGTGATTAGAAAACGTGTTAT